AAAAAAAAAAAAAAAGATTAACTAGATCCTGGCCCCACATTGTACTCTTCCAACTAGGAAGAGTGTTCTGGGTTTTGGGTTTTAGGTTTTTCCTTGTGCTCAGACTCCTTCCAGGCACTGATTGATATTCATGAGAAAGGAAACCTGTAACAAGCCGTCTCTAATTGCTTCCTAAATGTTTTACCTCACGTCATGATTCACTATGGGCTTGCTTTCGTGGTTGTGTCACTGTGGACTGGTGTGCTCAGTTTTCTGTGCCTTTTCATTCTTCCTGGGTTTCTTTCCGCAAATCTGCTTTAATGTACTGTATTTTCATCACTGGAACTGTATTTTAGTGACCTTTTTCTTCTTACCCCTTCCACTTTTCTTTGCCTGCTCAACTTACAAACAAGAAATGTCAAGTCATGTTGAATCGTAACCTCTGGTTGCAGCTCCTCTGTGTGTGTGTGTGTGTGTGCGCGTGTGTGCGTGTGTGCGTGTGCGCACATGCACGCACGCTCATGCATGATTTAAATGGAGTTTTTGTTTCCAACCCAATGCACTGTATGTTGTCTCTGCAGATGGTGGTGTGGTACCTTTTTCAGATTGTTTCAGCAGTGAGCTGCATCCATAAAGCTGGCATCCTGCACAGGTAATGACTGAATGAAGTGTGCAGCAGAGTCCTCCTTCCCAGTCCGTTCTCTACTCTGTATTCCTCCCATCATTGTTTTCATTTTCTTCACTAAGCAGTCAGTGTCTTTCCATTGATGTAATTAGGGCAGGAAAGACTGAGGAGTGAAAGATGTTATATTCACTATAGGAAGTTAAGTCACAGTTGTGACCTAGGAAGACTCCTGCTGGAACCTAAGTGCCGAGCGTTTCTTTAGAGGTATCTTAGGTGATGGTAGATTAGGCCATCAGTGAAGCCCACAGGCACTGTGAGAAGTAATATTAGTTAGGCTACAATTCATAGTGAATGCGCTCTCTGAGCAACAATAATAATAATTGTTATTATAGTTCTATAATTTAAGCTTTTAATTTAAGAGCATATGCATGTTATACAGTCAACTATACAATTTTACCAAATCTTCATTTGATAAAAACATTGAGGTGGGGGATATTTTCATTCATTCATTTCAAGCTGCATATGAGAACCTTTATAAGGACATGTTCACATCATTGTCCTCTACTTAAAATAATCATTAACTGCATGTGTTGGCACACATCTGTGATCACAGCACTCAGGAGGCTGAAACAGGAGGATCACTGCATTTGAGACCAGCCTGAACTGTGTCAACAAGGCTCTGTCTCAAAAAAAGTCATTGATTATTGCTAAAAGTTATAATACACTAGTTTTTTGTTTAGTAGTGGTTCGTTCATTTAGTTAACACTTATTTCTCAATAGCTATTGGATAACTATTATTGCCATTTTTATTTTTTATTTTTGCAGAACTGGGGATTGAACTCAGGCCTTTGCACTTGCCAGGGAAGTGCTTATTCCACTGAGCCATCTCCCCAGCCCCTATTTTTTTTTCCTATTTTTTTTTTTAAAGTAACAAAGTATATTGTTCTGCTTTGTTCTTTTTTTTTAAACATTTATTATTTAATTTCTTGACTTTTTTTTAATATTTATTTATTTATTTAGTGTGTGGCCAGTTCAGCCCACCAGGGGGCGGGGCTGGCTGGCATGTGGCGCTGGGGGATTGAACCGCAGTCCCTTTGCTTTGTTAAGCTTGTTCTAAGTAGGTGCTTTAGACCACTGAGCCATCTCACCAACCCCTCTGTTTTATTCTTATTCAAAAAGAAAGATTATAGGGGCTGGGGACATGGCTCAGTAGAATAAGCACTTGCCTGGCAAAAAAAAAGAAAATAGAAAAATTATAAACCAGGCATAGATTATTTTACATATGGTCAATTAATCTATTTACTTATTTATTTTGGCAGAAACAGGGATTTAACTCAGACCTTTTCCTTTGCCAGGGAAGCACTTATTCTACTGAGCCATCTCCTCAGCCCTAATCTGAAAAGGTCTCACTATGTAGTCCAGGCTGGTGCTGAGCTCACAGTGATCTTCCTGCCTCAGCTTCCTGAGTGCTGGGATTAAGGCATGTACCACTGTGCTCAAGTTCCAATTCATCTTAAAAAAATAGCCAGGACCAGGGAGATAGGTCAGTGGCATAAGTGCCTGTTTGGCAAGCGTAGTGACTGAGGTTAGGCCTTGGCCCAAAAAAAGAAAAGCACCAGTGACTTTAGTTAGATGATGTAAAGCTGCCTCGAATTTTGTTGTTGTTGTTTGTTGTTTTTCTGTTTTTTGTGATACTGGGAATCTAAGCAAGCACTCCACATCCTCACTACACTGAGATACATCCCCAGCTCTAGCCTTGTTGAGATGTGCAACCCCTTCTGCCCTACAGAATATTTGTAACTTTTCGCCAACCAGGTATTAAGTTGCCTTGTTATCATAATGTAAGGCATAAGTGGAAGTGGAAACATAGTGCATTTTACAGGAGCTAGAGTTCATGCTTGTGGCTTTTCTCAACAGACTCCCTTAGCTCTGCCTCGCAGCATCGGAGCCGTGAGCCTAGAGCATGGAGTCACTCTCTGCCTGTACCCCTGCGTGCCCTCTTAAGGGTTAAAATGTGTGTGAGGGGTGGCCACTGCAGCAGGGGGACCCGAAACAGTCTGAGCAGTGGTAATCCACTCGCTTTTACTCTGCTTGGATCCTGGTTAGCTGGGGATCAGATGAAACCATGATCTATAGGGACTAAATATGCGACATCTTCTTTTTCAGAGACATAAAGACATTAAATATTTTTCTGACCAAGGCAAACCTGATAAAACTTGGAGATTATGGTCTAGCAAAAAAACTTAATTCTGAATATTCTATGGCTGAGACGGTGAGTATAGGTTGCTCCTATTTTTTCTTTTCCAGTACTGTGAAATAAAGCTATACCCCCTAAATTCTGCATGCTTTTCTTAAAATTCTTACAAGTTCTCCTTGCTGATAATATGGATCATCTTCTGGTTTGGTGATAGGCTTTTACAGGATTAGATGTTCTTTTCTTTTTTTTTTTTTTTTTACTGTGGAATCGGGGATTGAACTCAGGCCCTTGCGCTTGCCAGGGAAGCGCTTATTCCACAGAGCCATCTCCCTGGCCCTAGATGTTCTTTTAAGAATCATCTGTATTATAGCTCTGATCCCAGCCCTATCCAACACTAAGACTTTTCTATAGTAAAAATAAGACCAAAAAAAGTCCCTTTGGGCCGGGGATGTGGCTCAGTGGTGCAGCGCCTGCCTAGCAAGCGCGAGGCCCCAAATTCAATTCCCAGTAGCAAAAAAGAAAATAGTAAAAATAAGACCAAAAAAAGACTTTTCTAGGCAGACATGGTATCACATGCCTGTCATACCAGCACTCAGAAGGCTGAGGCAGGAAGATTGCTGCCAGTTTGAGGCCAGCCTGGGCTACAAAGTGAGTTCTAGGTTGTCGGGAACTACATAGTGAAAACCTGTCTCCAAAAAAAAAAAGACTTCTAAAAACAAAAATATTTTCCTGTTTTTTTTTCCAATCTAAGATTCCATTGTATTCCACCAAACCCACCCCCCCTTACAAAAAAAAGAGGGTCTGGGGAGATGGCTCAGTAGAATAAGCACTTGCCTAGCAAGCACAAGGACCTGAGTTCAATCCCTAGTTCCACAAAAAAAACCCTCAAAAAACCCACTGAGTTTCCATTGTATCTTTTATCTAACATTTCTTTTGTGTTTCCTTTAGCTTTATTTGTTGTTTGTCTATGTGAATTGGGGTGTTAACGGTCTATTTTAGTCTGGTCTTAGACTCACTGTGTAGTCCAGGTTGACTCCTGAGTGCTGGGCCTCCGCTTATCATCATCATATGTTTCATCTCTCTTTTTTTGTGGTACCAGGAATTGAACTCAGGACCTTGCGCTTTCTGGGAGGTGCTTATTCTACTGAACTATCTCAAGTAGGGCACCACGTGCTTCTTTTGTGCTTCCTTTGAATGCTGTTCCTGAGTCAGAGAGAAGCCCTATATTACAAATGTAGGCCAAGGGAACAATTATACACAGTCTGAACTATATAAAAGGCTCCTTTCTTATTTGATTTTAAGAAAGGCCACTGGTTAAAAAAGTAAATATAAACTGACCTTTAGGACAGTGATTTTTTTTTTTTTTTTGGTCTTTTTAAGACAGGGTTTTGCTATGCAGTCCAGGCTAACCTTGAACTCACTTTGTAGCCCAGGCTGGCCTCAAATTCACAATGACCCTCCTGCCTCTGCCTCCTGAGTGTAAGGATTACAGGCATGTGCCACCACACCAGCTGATCTTTATCATTTTAGGAATTGTAAAACCCAGTTAATACTCTTGTGCCTTTGAAAGAACTTGGAAATGGCAGTTAATGAAGTTGATTTTGTCTTGGAGTGTTGACAATGCCAAGTATGCCTGTGAGCAAGTCCACAGAGAGTCTGTTTTCAAGACTCTGGCCAAGCAGCCAAGGAAGCGGTGTCCTTTTGCTCAGGGTTTCTCATCAGCAGTAATCTTGGTAAAATCAAGCCTTGATTGTTTCTTAGCCAATTAAATGTGTTGAAGGAGTGATATGAAAACTTACCCATGGCATGTAGGGTCTCTTGCTGATTAAAGATGACTTTAATTGGTCTTAGTGAACTGAGGCGTTAATTTCATTGTCTCAGATCTTGGTGAGCCTCTCCCTCATCCTGAGTGCTGGGATTACAGGTGTGTACTGACATGTTCAGCCTCCAAACTTTTTTTTTTCTTTTTCAAACTTTTCTCACTTGAATAAGTGCTTGCCTGGCAAGCACAAGGACCTGAGTTCAAACCCCGGCTCTGCAAAAAAAAAAAAAAAAAAAAAATCAAACTTTTTTTTAAAGTCAGAAAGTCTTTTCAAATTGTACAGAAATTCAGTAGACATGTTAGTATCACAAATGTCAAATTTGGCCATTTTTCAAGGTTTTTTACTGTGCATCTCAGAGCTTTTAAAACTCCTTCATTTGGGCTGGGGAGATAGCTCAGTGGCATAAGCACTGCCTGGCAAGTGCAAGGTCCTGAGTTTGATCCTCAGTACTGCAAAAAAAAAAAAAAAGGAAGAAAGAAAAACTCCTTCATTTCGTTACTGTCTCTGCTCCAATGGGGCTTGGCTCTTTTCCACTGGTAAACTTCTACTAAGTCGGTCTCTATTTGTATGAAATCTTCAGTGGACCTTGAAGCCTGTGTGAACGAGAAAGCACAAAGCTGTTGGGCCTCTAACCACAATGCTTTTACCACAGACTGTCCTTTTATAATTGACCCACAAGACTTAATAGGAATAAGATTTCTCTCCAGTGGCATTTTCTCATTAAAACCATTTTGAGATCTGCTGATGAATGTTTTCTGAATGTTGTCTTACTCTCTGAGAAAGTTGACTTAGCTGTTGAAATGTTAATGCAGAACATGTCAGAAGAGAAGTTACTCCTTGATTGTTTTCTTTGTTGTTCAGCTTGTGGGAACCCCATATTACATGTCTCCAGAGCTGTGCCAAGGAGTAAAATATAATTTCAAGTCCGACATCTGGGCTGTAGGCTGTGTCATCTTTGAACTGCTTACGTTGAAGAGAACATTTGATGCTACTGTAAGTTATTGTGCGATCCCCACGTGGTCTTCTTTTTTTTTTTTTTTTTTTTGCATTACCAGGGATTGAACTCAGGACCCTGAGCTTGCAGGCAAGCGCTTATTCTACTGAGCTGTCTCCCTGGGCCCTCCACATTGTCTTTTGAAGGATACGAGTTGGTGAAGTGAATCAGCTTCTTTTTTTTTTTTGGTTCTGTTTTTTTTTATCCCATAATTTTGTTGATAAACAAATAGCAATGAGACAGTTTCAAATCAAATTGGTAGGACAGTTTCAATAATAACACACTGCATACATTCTTCCTAGTGGTTAATTGCTGTACAAGATGCGGACTTGATATCCTATTTACAAACACCATTAGAACAAATCCCTCTGTTCATTAAGAGAATGTAACTATATATCTATCCTAACCACTTTGAATACACAGATACAAAATGGACATTCATCTGTATACCCTTTTTCTGTTAAGTTCCGTTATTTGAATATTATAGGTGTGGAATCAGCTTCATTTATCCCTCACCTTCTTGTTTCTTGAACAGAAATCATCAGTAGTCAGAAATAACCTATAATTAGGCACTGAATTAGTAGTATTAAATTAAAATGTTATACCAGATTCATCTCTTAGTGGAATGTCCCATTGAAATGACCATAAAGCAGTGTGAGCACTGTATTTTAATTTGTTGACTGTAATTTCAAAACTGGCACTAAGGTCAGTGCAGTATTATAGTTTTAAAAGCCATTGCATTTCTTATTTTTTCTTTTGCATTTCATTTTGATGCTGGAAACTGACCTCACAACAGCATTGGCCAGGAGGGCTCTGTGCCGCTGAGCTGTATCCTCAGCCCAACCATTACATTTTTTATGCTTCAGCTACATCGTTTTTTTTTAAAGATGAGGCAAATTATATAATACCCATTAAAGTGTTTTGATCTTAATTGGTCTTAGTGAACTGAGGCGTTAATTTCATT